TAGAAGGAACACATAAGTACAGAGGAATGATGGGAATTCAAAACCACCCCTTGTCACCCATCTAAGCAGATGCTAAGGCAGGTGAGTGGAGGCTTGATGAGGATATTGGTATAATATAGGGCACAGTTCCCCCTACAGAAAATACTTATCCATTGCATTGGGTGGAAATGGCGATTTGAAGCTAGAGAAACTGGGCAGACACCAACTGGTCAGATGGTCAAGGTTAACTCAGCAGTTTGATGAGGCTTCAGGAAGCCTCCCTTGTCATGCTCTGGGAAGGGCACACCACCGTCTCTGTAGTTTTCCTGCCAGGAACGCAGGAGCCCAGACCAGACAGACTGCATGTGAGACCCTTATGGAATGAAAGACCTGCACTCATGAAAACCATAAAGAACTATTAGAAAAGACGGAAGTCTAAAGAGACATGGTACCTAGGGGCAATGTGTGATCCTGGATAGAATGTTGGATCAAAAGAAATAGACTTTGTTTGCAAAATTTGAATTGGCCAAGTGGCTTAGGTAGGAATGCTATTTCCAAATAACCAACTTGTTGGCTATTTGATGGCTGGTTATATGGGAGAATGTTCTCTGGAGTATTTAGACTGAGTGAGACATTATGTCTCAGCCTGCTCTCAAGTGGTTCAGAAAAAAGGCTAACCACACACACATTCAGACATACATACATAGATATTAATATATAACATGCTGTATAGATGTAGTATATATTTAGGTAGTATCTACAATGTATTGGTATATGTCAGTATGCTCTATGATAAATATGACTACATATTTATACTGTTATATCTATTTACTTATTTTTTTTAAAAAAGAGAGCAAGAGAGACAGCAAATGTAGGGAAATTTTTGTTGTTGTTATAAATTGAGATGGAGCCAAAAGAGGTAAAATGCTAAGAAATTGGAGAGTCTTCTTTATACTATTCTTGCAACTTCTCTTTAAGTTTGAGGTTATTTTAAAATAAGTGATTTAAAAAGAATGCTGTGAACCAGCATAGCCGTATGAGTAACAAGTGCATTCATGTATTAGCATTTAATATATGTTATTTCCTATGTAAGGCATTCCCCTGTGTCCAAGCTCTCACTGGGGTAATTTTACAGAACCTGAAAAGCAAGGATGGGTTATGAAGTTCTCTTCAGCCCTAGGACTCCCTGTATATGTCAGGTGAGTTCCAAGGAAGTGTTACATATTAATAATAAGAAACTGTAAAAAAAGAAATGGTTGTCTATTTGTCTCCAAATTTCAGTTTTAAATTAGCCACTGGGGAGAAAGAAGGAAAAAAAAAAAACAAAGTAAACACTTAAATAATCAATATTTACTAAAATAATGGCTGTTCCATAAATCCAGAGCCTTAGTTCACAAAAACAGAACCTGGTTTGCCCTGGATCAAAGGTGGGACCCGTTGTGCAGTAACTTTTAAAATATTTTTGCTTTCAAAACAGCAGCATTCCATTATTACCCAAAGCAGTACAGTCTTCTTTACAATCTCTATTTCCATTTTATCTCAATTTGCTACTTTTTTTTAATGTACAAAAAACCTTCTCTGAATGCTCATAGACCCATATATCTGCAGACACATGAACCCTGTTTCACTGAGCACTCTTATTCTGCAAAACTGGGTGATCATTTGTTCTCTTCTTTACCTGGAACAGTGAGCAAGAGATTGGGTATTTTCTCCTTTCTCATCTGAGAACACTGAAAATGAGGCAGTTTGAAGTGACTCGCAATTACCTGGCACAAAGCTACTGAACAATAAAGACAAGAATTTGGGATCTTTTCACACTGCAAGAGCTAGGCAGGCTATGTACATGCATGGGTCTTTTTTCCTTTAAACACGTGAGTCCCAGGCATAGTTCTCAAAATTGAACTTTTCTCTGTGCCTTTAGGAGAAGAATTTAACCCAGGTTAAATGCTCACTGCAAGGTGTCTTTGCATTTCAAAGATCTTTTAGTGGAATACTGAATGTTCTACAATTCTGTGTATTTTTTTTTCCTGGCCAGTCTTAACAGAGTTTTAGAAGACTGACGTGCATAAACAAAGACTCTTTACTTCACCACCAAAATAAAAATGTTGACATTTCAAATGTAATTAGAAAATGCACAATAGTTAATAGACCTCTAGAAAAGCTTTTGCCAGCGTAACAAATAATTTTGATTATAACATGATAATGTTAGTTATTACTTGTTATCACAGATGTTACAATATTTTTTCCTTGAAAATATTTGTTTAGCTGTTACAATGTACATACATTCAGTATCATGATCACCTTTTCTTATTTATTCTCCCAATATGTCTTCATGTGCACACATTCATGAATTTAAATTTTATTTTATTATGAAATACCTGTGTAACACTTACTCTGTGTCAGGTCATAGTCTAAGCAGTTAGTGAACAATTAGCTCATTTAATCCACATAAAATTCTCTGAGACCATTATTATAATTCTCCTTCATTTTACAGAGTTGGTACAGAAAGATTCAGCAATATGTCCAAGGATGCACAGCTGGTAAGCTGCAGAACTAGGATTCAATCCCAAGGAGTTTGACTCCCAAACCTGTGGTCATAACCAATATACCATGCTGCCCTGAGCCTTAGACTTACAGGTACTGGGGGAATTATTGGTTGATTAAATGAACAGATGATGCTCTCGTCTCTTAGACTGGTTTGAAAACAAGGAAATCACCCAGTTGCTCCGTGCCTTAATTTTCCACTTCATAAAATAGAATTGATAATATTTGCCATCCATTTCTCCCCCAAACAACAGTATACAAGAAGGGAATTTACCTAGCTGCCACATGTATGTTTTTATGCTCCAAAGGGTTGGTCAGCTATAGGTGTAGAGGAGACCAACAGCTTAGACCTTAAACATGTGCCAAGGCCACACAACTCGGCAGAGTTAAACTATGTCTCTTTCAGTCTGAATGAAGTACAAGAGCAGAGCTTCAGAGAGCTCAACTTCTTTATATCTGAACTTTATCCCCATATAACTTTGAACTGTTTTCATTTTTCCAGCTGAATTAGAATCTGTTTGTATAAAATGATACTCAAATGAGATGTCATCTTGGGCTTTGATTATGTGAACTAATAAAATACCTAATTATAAATCTTCTAAATGAAAATGCTTTCTTGTTACAGCTCTGCAGCTATGATATTTAAACAAAACAAAACGATCGTGCAATCGTCACCTGATTAGGAACCACACTGGAAGTTTCTGTGCCAAAGTCCTTAACCCATGCCTTCCTACTTTCTGGTTTTATTGAGTTTCTACAAATCCCATCAGGTCTTTCACTGGCACAGATAGGGCATGAAGAGAAACTCAAAACAAGACCCACCACTGTTAACAGCAAGGGCAAAGAGCTGGTCCGAGAATTCTTGTCATGGGACCTCAGACAGTCCCCTGGTCTCAGTCTCAATCTCCTCTGAAACAGGGGGATCCTAACAAGTTGCCCTGCCTCCCTCCAGGGTTCTCCTGACTAACTCAGATGAGTTAACGTACAAGAAACTGCTTTGTAAACTGTAAGCTATGACTACAAAGAAATTAACACGAAATGTTTGGGTTTTGAAAAGTCCCCCAAAGACAGAAATTTATGTATGCATATATCCACGTGCAAAATTTTCCAAGTACACTCTTAGCCTGGACTTACATGCTGAGTGGATTCAGAAAAGCCAGAGGACTTGAGTTAAACCTCAGAAAAGGTGAGATTTCAGGTGTTTAGTGCCTGGAGATTGAACCTCTGGTAAAGGAGAGGGTGAGAGAGAATACTACAGGCCTGAAGTCTGATGACTGTGTGTCTATACAGATGTGTCTCAGACGAAAACAGGTTTACAGAGATAATTCTTATTGCCTTGCCTCCAAAGAAGATACTCCATGACCTAATCAAGAACAACTGTGGCCATCTGGATGACAGGGGATTTGGGGGGAGAATGGATACATGTGTATGTATGGCTGAGTCCCTTTGCTGTCCACCTGAGACTATCATAATATTGTTAATTGGTTGTACTCCAATACAAAATAAAGTGTTTTTTTTTTCCAAAAAAACTGTTACAGTATCCCTGAGCATTTATTACAAACCAATAGACTGTGTATGCTTGAGGGATATAAACAGTCTGTTGAGGGGAGGGATAAACTGGGAGACTGCGATGGATGTATGCACACACTATATATGAAATAGATAGCTAAGGACCTATGGTATAACACAGGGAACTCTGCTCAGTACTCTGTAATGACCTGTATGGGTAAAGAATCTTTTAAGAAAATGGATATATGTATAACTGATTCACTTGGCTGTATACCTGAAACTAGCACGGCATTGTAAATCAACTATATTCCAGTAAAAAAAAAAAATAAAGAGGCCGTTAAAGAGTGCTGATGAAGCTGCTGGCGAGGTCTAGAAATGGGCAGAGAAGACAATTCATGTAAATGAGGTCAACCAAACACTGACTGCAGAGGAATCCAATAGGATTCAGGCTCTCTGCTGTTTAGAAACACTGGAGCCAACTCAGGCTCCATTTCCAACTCTGGTAGGCTTGTGGTTGTGGTTCAAGTTGCACGTGAGGGTGGGTAATGAGTGTGTCAGGAGTGGCCTGTCCTATCACCTATTCACTTTGATCACTCCCCTGATCACAGGATGCACACCTTGTCCTAACCAACCACCTGGCAAAATCCAGCCCTGCTGACTAGGGAAGCTTGGCAAGCCAGTTTGCAGGGCAGAAAGGCCACCGATTGCACGACCTCTACTAAAGGGAAAAAAAATATATCTCAGAGCGCTTGGCCTAGAGATGTCAGCGTCACCTTTCCGTGCCAGGAACAAATGATTTTTAGAGAAGGCCTAGATTCTACCCGGGCTGCACGCGAATCAATCAGAGGGGAAGACTAATGGTACCGCATTGGGCATTTCTAAGATGCAGGGGCCATGTCTGCTCCCTCCCCCCCCGGGGGGAGGGGGGCGATGTGCAGGTGTCTGCTCCCGGGGACGTGCTGTTGCTGCTAAGCCTGTCTGCTCAGCAGAGGACACAGCTCCATCAGGAAAGCTCGGGCCTTTCCTGGGTGCGAGGAAGGTGGGATTGGGGGGTCTGCAGAAGTGAGCGCACAAGAACCGCTACTGAGATTGCAGTTAGAGCTCAGAGAGGCCGAGATGAAACACAGGTGAGCAGACCAGTGTGTGGCCGTAATCCGTCCCGGGGATGAGCTGGGCTGCCTTGCCTTCACCCCCGACGCCGTCTCCCTGCGGAGTCTGAGGTTCTCTAAGCCGGGGAGTAAGGGGAAGCTGTCAGCACTCCCATCCCGGGACCCGAGCTGGGGCGGGAGGCTGAGTGGGGAATACAAGAAACACCCCCCGCGGACCAGTTTCTGAGCAGGGAAACGGACCGGGAACAGCGCATTTCCTGCTTCGCCTGTGCAAACCCCGGGCGCGGCCGAGCGGGAACTGGGTGACGGTCGGGGAGTCGCCGGCTGCTGGGGCGGGGTTCGGGGAGGCCTCGAGGGGTCCGTGTACCAGGGAGGATGCTGGGGCGGGATGCTGGCGGAGGGCGTGGAAGAGGGCGTAGGAGCAGAACGCACACCTCCTTGTCCTGGTGCGGAGCGAGAGTCCCCAAAGCCCCGCGGGAGAGGCGGGCGCCCCAAAGGCAGGGTAGGGCGCCAGGTGAGAGGCAGCTGGGCTCTGACCCTCGGGGGCCTCTGGGGTGGGAGCTGGTGGCCGTGATCTCCTGGGCTCTCCTTCTTCCCCACCCCTCCCATGTCACCCGCGACTTTGAACTTCGCCTCGCAAACCCGCAGGGAACCCGCCGGGGGACCGGGAATAGACGCGAGAGGTACGCAGAGCCGGCGCGCGGCCCTACCTGGGCGGTGCGGAGCCCCGGGCGCGCTCCGTGCCGCGCGCCGCCTTCCCCTCGGCTCCCGGAGGCCGCCGCGGGCACGCGACTTATAAACGCGAAGACCTGATTGTTGTTCTTTGTTCCGGGGATACCATTGTCTGTCGGTTCCCGGTGCCCGCGGCGCGCCCCCCCCTTTCCCTCCGCCCCCGAGCCAAGCGGGGTCTGTCCTGGTGCCCACGGCCTTCCCCGGAGGCCGAAGCGTTCTTCGTCCGGCTCCCGCTTCCCGAGCATCGAAACACAAAAGCCTGCAGGAAACCCACGGCCGGTGCCTGGTCACGCAGGGGTCCGAACCGCGGCTCACCACCTACCCGGCTTCATCGCTGCGCCCACCGGCCACGGGCCCCGCGGGGTAACAGGCATGGCTTCACGCCGCGCTAGTCGCGTCCTTGCCCAGACTTTCGAGCCTTGGGCCCAGCCTGGGCACTGGGCACGGATTAGCAGCCAGAAATCAGAGGTCCCATTCCCCGCGCGCTCCAGCCACGTGGGCGGGTGGACACGGCTCCTCCTCGCCAACTTGTCTGCCCCCCTCCCCCCACGTAAATCTCTCGTGATGAGAAAAGCAAGGCTCGCAGGAAGCCACTCCGGATGTTTGCTGCTTTTCATGTGGCATTTGTGGCTGGCTCTGATAACATCCAGAGCTCAACTTCCAACGCGCGTTTAGTTAAGAGACTGAAATAGAAGAGTCCACACACACCTCGTGGATGGTCTGCGGCGCCGCCACCCCCCACCCCAACACGCTCCCCTCAAATCTATGACAAGAGCGGGATCAGAAGATGGGATGAGACACAGGAACTCGTCTTGGAAAGGCACCGCAATTCCTCTCTTGTAAATATAAGTACATTGTTACTTTATAACTCCCAGGGAGAGTGTTATAATAAGTGGGGGGCGCGGGGACACCAAAATCTGAAGCTCCAGCTCCATCCTATGCATCCTGTGCTCTCAACTAGTTTCTCAATATCTTACTCAAAAAAAAAAAAAAAAAAAACCAAACCCAAAACAAAACAGTAGTTAAGACTCCAAGAACAAGTGCAGATAATAGCAAGAAACCCCCATCAGTTTCTTGACCCTCTTAGCACCTCTTCCTGTAATGAGGTGGCCAAGAGGCACCTAAGGATGAATAAAATGTACAGGGTAAACCTGTGCATATATATTTTTTGAACTCACACCTGGATTGCATTTCCTGTACCCTATGTTGTTGTTGTTGTTGTTTTATGGAATACATCAAATAGATTCATCTAGAGAGATAAATGTATTCTGGAACAGGCATTATTTTTGTTTGGTTTTTCAATCAATATTTTAAGAAAACTCCTATTAGTTCACAAAAACTTTTGCCCTAACAGAAAATCCTGCTTTGAGATCTTTGGAAAATATTTATTACTTTGCAGCAAAGTTAGAGACGATTGACAGGAAAACATCAAGGAACAAGGCCCTACAGGATTAATTTGTTCTCTCTATTCCTATAGTTTCCTTACTTAGTTGCAATGCAATCATGCTTAATTTGCAAGCCCATATTTTTCTCTTATGGAAAAATAAGCTCTTAAAGGAAAAGTGCATAATCAGTTAAATGTTTTTAAGATTACCAGTTGTTTCAAAACCATCTATTAAAAATAACACTTCTTTATTATTTCCTTAAGCAGATTAACTTTTTTTCTTGTTTGAATCTCAGAGACCCAGGAACTAGAACCACTTTTTGGCCACTGAAGGTGGGGGTGGGGCAGCCAACATCACAGATCCTCAAGGAATTAAGTTGGCTTAAAACAAGTGTGCAGAAGTTCTTCGGAGAAACAGCAAACTCAGAGAAACTGAAGGCCAAGTGCTTTCAAAGGCTGTTTCTTTGTTTTTATGAATGCCCGGAGTAAGCAGTCTTGACAGACAACTTGTCAGGCAATGCCACACTGCAAGCTTCAGGCCTTACCTTCCAGATCCCGGATGTAAGCCCTAGCTTCCATCATCCCTTCACAGTAAATAAAGCAAATATGTTGTGGAGATTGATAAAAGTTGTCTATTTATGCAGAAGCGGCTGTGTTCGCTGCTTTAGCAAACAACACAACACATAAATACACAAATACAACAGCTTGGGTGAGTGGTCAATAGCGCCAAGTCTGAGGGCAGATTTCTGGAGGTGAAGTCCACTCCCCAGTGCTGTGCTAGTGGGCAAAGTCCTTAACGTCTCTGGGCCTCAGCTTCCTCTCCTGTAAGACAGAATGGCCTCTACCTCACAGGTTTATAAGGATAAACTTGTTGGCTGATGGTTGGTGTGCTGTATGTGTGACAGAAGGGTTTGTTTACAAACCCACAAAAAGATCTCTCGAATTTAAACAGAAGTTTAAATCTTAAGTTAAAAGTTTTCATTCCAGTCTTGAGAAACACTGAAGACCCGCCCCCCCCCAAATACCTCAAACTGACCCTAAGGGCTACAGGTATTTCTTTCCTCAAAGGTTGCTTTATTTCCTTCTTTCGACAGGCGTTTAGATAAATATCGCTATCTTTACCACATTTAAAAAATCAAAACTAAATCTTGCTTTTTTCCCTAAACACATGGGAGGACATTTTATTAAGTTTATTAAACATTTCCTGTACACATTTTCAAGGGTGGGTTCGTCTCTTTGGATAAAGCTTTTTAAAAAAAAAAATTTCTTCAGGATGACATTTGTAATCTTGTTTTCGAAAGTAAAATTTACCTCGGACATATCATTTTGAATATAATACAGGTACGTCGAATCCTTGGGGTGATAAAGTATTTTCCAGTTTGGAGACGATGTCCGTGGGACTCTGGGAAGAAGGCGAGCCCCCCCCCCCCGCGCGAAACCCCCTCAGCTCCAGGTTGAGTGGTTGCTTCGTGCGTCGATCCGGACTGCGCTGGCTAAGTACTTCTAGGCAGCAGGGCGATCAGCACCCCAGAAGGCTGATCAGGGGTCCCCCTTGAAGGGTGGGAGGCGACGCGGCGCCAAAGCCCGGCTCCAAGCCGTTTTCTCAGGGGCAGGTGTCTCCCTGGGCGCGGGGCCGGGAAGGGGGGAAGGGCGGGCGTGGGTTTGAGCTGAAACTTGGGACCTGGGCGGCGGGCTGGGCGTGGGCCTAACGCGCCGGCCGGCCCGCCCCTGCCGCTCCATTGGCCGGGTCTGTGCAGAAAAGGCCCGGCGGCCGGGGGGCGCCCATAGTGGCACTGGGCTGGCGGGGGCGAGGGCTACTCCAGGGACTGCGATCGATCTGCCAGGGACGCGGGCGGCGGGGTCCGTCCGGGGGACGCGAGCGGCCCGCGGGGCATCTCCTCTCTCGCTTCCCACCCCCTCCCCCCGGCAGGGGGAGGCGGCGTGTCCGGCGGAGGGTTGCGGGGCGCGGGGCCGGGCTGGAGCGCCATGAGCAGCCCGGATGCGGGGTACGCCAGTGACGAGCAGAGCCAGCCCCGGAGCGCGCTGCCCGCCGTGATGGCCGGCCTGGGCCCCTGTCCCTGGGCCGAGTCGCTGAGTCCCCTCGGGGACATGAAGATGAAGGGCGAGGCGGCGGCGAGCGGCGGGGCGCCGGCCGGGCCGGCGGGCCGAGCGAAGGGCGAGTCTCGTATCCGGAGGCCGATGAACGCCTTCATGGTGTGGGCGAAGGACGAGCGCAAGCGCCTGGCGCAGCAGAACCCAGACCTGCACAACGCCGAGTTGAGCAAGATGCTGGGTGAGTCTGCGCCGGGGCCCAGGCCCGGCGAACCTTGAGGCTCAGAGGGTGCGGGCCTTGCGCCCGAGGCTGGGGGTGTGCGGCCCCCGCGTCCTTCCCTGGGGCCCCGGTTCCTTCCCGCTGCCCGCTCTCCTAGTCTCCAAGCGGCTTTGGGCCTTGGTCCCCGTATTCCCCGTCGGCCGGGGCTCCGGGGAGGCGTCTCCCCGCGCATCCGAACGGCGGCCAGGGCACCCTGGCGCGGGGCTGGGTGGGTCGCCCGCTCCCCCGACTCTTGGCCAGTTCCTCGAATGGGCGCGGGTGGTGAGCGGGAAGCCCTTTCCAAGAGCGACGGAAAGGCGGCGGGGGATTGGGGGGGGTGGGGTGGGGAAGGTCTTGGAGGGCCCGAGATCTCGCGTCTTCCCCGAGTGCCCGGCCTGCCCTCGGCCTCCACAGCCCCAACCTTCAGTCTTTCCCTTAATCCCTTCCTCCGCTCCGGGAGTGGCACCAGCTTAGGTCTCAGGGGGACGGTAGGGCCAGGTTGGACCTGGGAGCCGGGGCGCAGACGCTAAACCCGCGGCCCTGTCCACCCCGCGCCCCGCAGGCAAGTCGTGGAAGGCGCTAACGCTGGCGGAGAAGCGGCCGTTCGTGGAGGAGGCCGAGCGGCTGCGCGTCCAGCACATGCAGGACCATCCCAACTACAAGTACCGGCCGCGGCGGCGCAAGCAGGTGAAGCGGCTGAAGCGGGTGGAGGGCGGCTTCCTGCACGGCTTGGCCGAGCCGCCGGCGGCCGCGCTGGGCCCCGAGGGCGGCCGCGTGGCCATGGACGGCCTGGGCCTACCCTTCCCGGAGCAGGGCTTCCCCGCGGGCCCGCCGCTGCTGCCCCCGCACCTGGGCGGCCACTACCGCGACTGCCCGGGCTTGGGCGCGCCCCAGCTCGACGGCTACCCTCTGCCCACGCCCGACACGTCCCCGCTGGACGGCGTGGAACCCGATCCGGCTTTCTTCGCCGCGCCGCTGCCCGCGGACTGTCCGGCCCCTGGGCCCTACAGCTACGCCCCGGCCGCGGACTACGCTGGGCCCCCGGAGCCGCCCGGAGCTGGGCCCCTGCACCCGCGACTGGGCCAGGAGCCTGCGGGCCCCGCGATGCCGGGCCTCCTCGCGCCCCCCAGCGCCCTGCACATGTACTACGGCCCCGTGGGCTCCCCGGCGGCGGCGGGGGGCGGGGGACGCGGCTTCCAGATGCCGCCGCAGCCGCACCCGCCCGGTCCGGGGCAGCCGTCTCCCCCGCCAGAGGCGCTGCACTGCCGGGACAGTGCAGACCCGGGGGCCCCGGCCGAGCTACTCGGGGAGGTGGAGCGCACGGAGTTCGAACAGTACCTGCACTTCGTGTGCAAGCCGGAGATGGGGCTCCCCTACCCAGGACACGACGCCGGCGTGACCCTGCCCGACGGCCACGGGGCCCTGTCCTCGGTGGTGTCCGACGCCAGCTCCGCGGTGTATTACTGCAACTACCCCGACGTGTGAGCCGTCCCCGACCGCAGGGCCTGCGGCCAGAAGCGCGCATAGTGTTACACACCTCCCCAAGGATCGAGGGACACTCAGCCTCGCGTCGCATTGTGTTTTTAAGTTGCCTTGGCGTATAATTTATGGTAATTTATTTTGTCTGCCACTTGAACACTTGGGGGGGGTGGGGAGTAAAACGGGGGGAGGTGGTGTCTGAAGATGGGTTCAGACCCTTGTTTCCCACAGTGGCCCTTGTCAAAACCCCATTTTCAAGTTCAAGTTCACCAGTTCACAAGTTCAAGTTCACCAGTGGGTCCGGGAACAACTCGCTCCATTTCTCAAAGCTTTATTGATCAACGAAATTTTTATCCCGGGTGTGTTTTTTTTTTTCAATCTTTAAAAATAAAATAAAATCTGGAATTCCACTTTTCTCACTCCGCTAGCGCCTCTGTCACAAAAGCCAGGTTTTGAGATCCCTGTTAAGTATTTAATAGAATTAGAAATGCTTTAACGATAACACTAAACATATAGTCACAGTGAATTTCGCATTCTCTTGTAATAGTAGACCTGAATGACTTGAAGGGGAAGCCTTCAAATAAACATTTGGGCATCCCTACTTGGTTTTGCTAGGGGAAGGGAAACTCACAGAATGAGCCTAACTTATGCATTTCAGGTGACCCTAGTCTCTACATAGTAATGATTAATCATAATTCTCCAAATATTGTAAGTTTTAGTATATCACTTTCAAACTCAGGAGAATATCCAAGGTAACTTTGGTTTTCGAGTTGAATCTTGAGACCTACATAAAGAGGCTTTTGCATATATATTTTTTTCTTTTCTGCATTTCACCTTGAGTCATTAAAACTCCCTCTCAATACTGAAATTGCCAGTCATCACAGGTCTACACCTTGGAAAGCAGTGTTGCTGGGTTAAAAATAATTGGGAAAGAGTCATAGGAACTAATCAAAATAAAATGCATTGTGACCTCAACTGTTAGTGAAACTTAGCACCTATCATTTCAGTGGGATATTTTGCTATAAATTGCATATGGGGCTTGCTGCAGTTCCTGATACCTGCAGTTCTTAGCCTGGGAGGGGTCCAAGGAGGATATGTAGGCAGCATGCTTTGCAAATGCAACTAAAGCTGCAGTCCTGGGGCATCACTGTCCTGCCCTGTCATCGAAGAAACTGAGTCACAGGTCGTGAAGCTGATCAGCCTTGCTGTTGTGTTCGTGGCCCTTCCCATCACACTTAGCAGATGAGACATAAATGGATGGATACAGATGATTTAAAATGGGCATTTCCTGCACCAGGTGTTTCATCAATGCTGTCTTGTACTGATTTTGAGCCTGATGAAGCCTGGGAGTTTAGGTGCAATTCTCCCCATTTTGCAAGTGACACATGGAGGCACAGATCCCTTGCTTGCTGTGTACATGGTGAAAGCTTGGTGTTGCAAGTTCTGACAACATATTTGTTCGTTCACATTTGTTTTTCTTTGTGCACAATATATCCTTGGGCACTGGGAGAACTTGCATTCTGGTTGTGAGAAGCTACCATTCTCTATACTGATAAATGCTATAGAGAAAAGGAAGGGGTAGGAAGGTGGCTTAAAGCATTTATTTTGAGGGCTGTCTGAACTGAGATGGTCAGCTGGATTCTCTGGAGAAATAGGTCATGTCTTTTTTTTTTTTTTTTTTTAATACAAAGAGTTCCTGGATGTTAGGAATGTTCAAGATAAAAAATTTCAATGAGGAAAATAAGTCTATTTTGTTAAGCATAACAGTTTACCTTAAACATTTGATATGCAAACCCTCACTCCAGTGTTATAGCTATCGTCCAATCCACTTTATTTGCCTCTAGTACCCTACACTAGTCTTTCTTCCTCTGACCCCAGGCAGGTTCTGTTTCCTTCATTCCTGGTGGATAAAGTGAGCAGAGGTACCTCACCTGCTGAGGGTCAAGGCAAGGTCACCAGTTCAGATCCCACCAGGCATTCTTAGGGCACAAGGAGAGTCAGTTGTACCCTTTGCTGCTGCCTCTCAAAAAAACTAAGACTTCCCTGGTGGTCCAGTGGTTAAGATTCTGATTCCACTGCAGGGTGCACAGGTAGATCCCTGATAGGAGAATTCTGCATGCTGTTGTGGTATGGCCAAAAAAAAAAAAAGATAAGTAGGGAAAAGAGGAAAGGAGAAAACAAAGTGTTTCAAAGAACCAAAAGTCCCATGAAGTCACATTCTTTTTTTTTTTTTTCCAAAGTCACATTCTTAACTACTCACCAGGGAAAGGTCAAATAATGAGAGGGAAAATAAGGACTAAAATGGTTCAGCATTTCCAATGCCTTTAACTCCCAAATGGAGGGAAATTAGTTCTCAAAGTAACTCTTAGGGGAAGAAGCTCTTGCCTATTCCTTGTCTGTACTCAAGTGGACTCAGAGGGAGTGACCTCAGGTGCCAGTTAGTGACTGCTTTTTGTTTTACTTTGAAAAATACCTAAATGGTCTAATTATTCCCCTCCCCACCCCCACATCTGTACTTCTGAGATACTTTAGAAGTTGGTCAAGAGGTAGAAATCAGGATTGCTGTCCTGAGCTCCAGGCACCCTTGGTCATGCTTATTTGAATTCGTCTAAGATTATAGTCTACGAAAGCAAGGAATGGCCTCCCCAGATGCAGGCATACATGCACATGTGGAATATTTTAGACATAGTTTTAGGCATGACTTCTCATAACTCCTCCAGAGGTTGGAGAATATGAAAACCTCAGATTTAGAAGCCCTGATGATCAAGGTATGTTGGGAAGCATAGGGCCCAAGCACTGAAGCAAAAAGGCAGTTTCCCTTTATTTGAGAAAACATAGGGACATCTCAATAACTCTCTCCTATTACTGAGTTTTGAATCAAGAAGCAGGAGAGCAGTACGTCTTTCTCAAAGCAAAACACGATGCCCAGGTGAAGATGTGGGTCTCTTCCTTTGTGCCTTGTGGCGGGCGGTGGCTTTGCTCCCTACCTTGGGTGCTTACATCCTTGTATCAACCCCTCCCACCTGTAATCTGGGCTGGACTTGCTACTCTACCCAATAGAATGCAGCCCAAGCAAGGCTGTGCCAGCTCCGGGGACCAGCCCTCGGCCAAGGCTTGGCAGTCATTCTTGTGCTCCTGAGCGACTGTGTAGGAAGTCCGGTTATCAAGGCGGTGAGATCACGTGCAGAGGCCGTCTGGAGAGGAGAGGCCGCATGGCTGACTCCCATCTCTGGCCACCATCCTGCCAACTGGAATGCAAGAGAGGTAGAAGAACAACATCAGGATGAGCTCAATCAATTTACAGGTAGGAGAGATTAAAACGAAAAAGAAAAAGAAAAAAAAAGATGGTGGCTGTAAACTATCAAGTACTGGGGATCTTGGTTACTTAGCAACAGATTATCCACCAGTGTTTTGTCCTTAAATGACCCTTTCTTATTTTGAAGTATAAGAATGTGGGTCCTCATGGAAAAATCAGGAAAAGAGTTTTGGGTCCTGTCAAAGACACCGATGCAATTTTAAAGTGAAGGGCAGAATGTAGAACTTGACTTGGGTTAGAGGTCTTTGGTGCCACCACATGTTCAGAGTCCTCTTTCCTTAAAAAGACTCAGATGAAGTGACTGTAAGGACCAGCTCTTGATTGTTTTTTTTTTTTAAATTGGAGTATAATTGCTTTATAATGTTGTACTAATTTCTGCTGTACAATGAAGTGAATCAACTATATGTATGCATATATCGCCTCTCTCTGAAGACTCCCTGCCACTCCCCCCACCCCGCCCCCTAGGTCATCACAGAGCGCTGGGCCGAGGTCCCTGTGCTATGCAGCGGGGTGTGTATATATGTCATGACTTTTTTCAAATATTAAATTTGTCTCAGTTTTAATGGTTCTATTTGGGAACAAATACATAAAGGACACACTGCTTCCCTTGCTCCTTCTTGCCTCATCTTTACCTTGAAAGTATTTTAGAATTATATCAGGAGGTAGGAATCCAACCATTTCATGGGCTGAGGTACCCAGACTGGAAGCCAGCAGAGTCTACACACCCTTGAGGGACTCAGAAAAGAAGAGAATGTTTTCTTTTCCCTTGAGACACTGCCTTCATCTCTATTAAAGCTACAAGGGCAGGTCTGATAAATTAAATAAATGTGTAAGCTCCTTATACAAGCAACTATGAGACCATATCCCAAAGAAGCTATTTCTTTCACTTACTATTCATATGTCAGAAGATGATTGTACCTTTAATCTGAATTATACTGCAAAAGACTTCAGATTTTTATATAAATTTGTGCTGATGTCAAGAAAAGCACATATAAACAAAAGAATTTAAGAGAAAATGGAGTAGGTGCTACAAACTGAAATATATCATTGTGGTCTAACTTTCTTATGTGTCCCATTTCATTTTGTTTTTATTTTTTATTAATTTTGTTTTGTTTTGTTTTCTTACTTGTTACTTTTTTTTACCCCCCCCCCCCCGCCCCCCCACATTGGGCACACATCATGCGGGATCTTTCATTGCAGGGTGCCTTCTCCCCATTGCATGTGGGATCTTAGTTCCCCACTCAGGGATCTAACTTGCGTCCCGTCCCCTGCATTGTAAGGCAGATTCTTTTTTTTTTGTAAGGCAGATTCTTAACCATTGGGTCATGAGGGAAGTACCCATTTTGTTTTTAATACTCAGAATGGTCTTGGTCACAAAATAGATGTTCAACACTGCCTTCCTCCTCCTATTCTCCTTTGATCATTTTTGACAGCACTGGCTGGGGGAGAGAGATTTCACATTTATTATTTCAGCATTGATTTATTCTTCCTGCTTACAAGGTGCTTCCTTCTGAATCCTGAGTATTCATCTGAGAAAAAGTGGTTTTAGTGTCCCTGTTCATCCTTGTCTGGAATAGGATGAGGCATGTCTTGCTTCTTCTTCAAAATGATCAACCTGAGACTCAAAGAACATCCCTTGAGGTTCCCTGATCTGGGATCAGCTGCATCCTCTTAATTTTTCACTGTAGCA